TATCATATGTTAGTATACCGGTTTGCAGCTACGCATTACTCGTAGACGCATGCACTAGCTGTGATTGGCCTTCGTCAGGAATTTGTTCCAGTCGCATGGTGCCTTCATCTATAAACGACTAATCCCCCGAGTTTCATGACTGGTCAGGCATCCGGATACTAATGTATGACCGAGTCATTTTGCTGCGATCGATTTTGGGATTGGTCCCTCGACAACAACCACATCGTTAATCTATTTTGCGAGTGGCACGCATTAATAGATCTCTTGATCATAGACTTCATTGTTGTTGCTGATCTCAAGAACATCACCAAAAACGAAATGGCACTTGGTTACATCTTACAGCATTATGCAAGGCGTGCTTACAGTCGTGCACTGACGTCTTGCAAGGTGGTAACGTGGTGGAATCAAAAATGGGTCCATTTTAGGATTTTGTTCAACCTAGGCGTGTGCACTGGATTTGTGCAATTCTGTCTAAGTTTTGTCAAATGTAATGACTTGTTAATGGAATTCGCAAGGTGAGCCAGTAACTCGCGTATCCGAACAAGTTATCCGGATAATGGGGGTGAAATTTACTGGTGCCGGTGCAGATGCTCTTAGTTAGAGCTCGCCACACATGATACAATTACCTTACAAAGTAATACAATTAGGAAAGAAATCGGATTTCTTCAATATTGACCATAAGATGAATAACATAGGCCCTGTATGGAAAATTCACTGTGGCAGTAGGCCGCGTGGCCTACTTTTTTCATTTCCTCCCAAGATTAATTGGACTTCTAATACGTAGGTTAAATCAAACAACCGTAATCGATGTTACTTTGTAGGCCACGTGACCTATCTTCAATACTCGCACTTCCATTGGGTCATATTTGATGTTCATACAGCTGGTGCAATGGCCTCGTTCCCGCAACGCGAAACCTCAACGCTAGAAGATATTCACGGTGCACTCGTGGCCGAGAGGTCCAAGAAGGCCTACGCGTCTGGCATTCGCCAAGTTGTGAAATGGATCGAACTGACAGATCAAGGCGGTCAGCTTCTGCATGGCGACGGTAGCATCAACTTGGTCGAGTTTACATACGACCACTTCGCTTTCATTGTTTGGATCATGCAAAACACTTCAGTAAATGCCAACACAATGTCTGGTTACAGATCGGCTATGAGGTACTACTACAAGATGGCCAGGGTTCCTATGCCGCCTGAGTTCGATGGTGACCTCAAGGACATATTTCAAGGTTGGTCACCAACAAACAGCACCTAGGAACTATACTAGTGACGTAGGTATTCGCATAATCACTGCGACTGGTGAACAGAGTGCCTCTGTCCAAGATAGCGGGAAGAAGCCACTAGGTTATGCTGCCTTCGATTCTTTGTGCCATGAAACAATCAAGGCGATGGATTCAGGATTCCAACACCTCTTCGTCATTCTGTCGTGGAACTTGATGGCACGCTCAAAGTCGACTGAAACCATTCAGTTGTCGCATTTCTCCTACGAAGAAGACGCGGTTGGCATCACGTTCATGAAGTCAAAGACTGCCAAGAGGAAGAAGCGCCGTGACCCTCGTCATGTCTACGCAAACCCTCTGCGACCTCACACCTGTGCCTTTCTGGCGCTTGGGTTGTACTTGGCTTGCAACCAAACGCTTGCACCTGGCGCGTTGTTGTTTGAGTCAAATGTTCGTGCACACAAGAATTAGGGAATCACAGGTAGAAATCTGGGGGACACACACGTGTATCAAAACACAAGGGAATCGACCTAGCGTTACAGCAGCGAGCGACGACAGAGCATCCGCCTACAAAATTGCGCGCACAGCAGCGGAGGTCGTGTGTATAATTTTGTGCAGGCGGTGCCTTGGCGAGGAGTGAGCCCCAATCGTGCACTTCACCGAATGTCCAATCGATTCCTCTCGTCGGGAAAGCTGCAGGTAGGCCGCAGGCCGTGCCGCTCCCAGACGAGGCCTGTGGAGGACCAAATTACCTTATATAGTATTTGTAACGTTACAGTTTCATATGATTCCTCATTTTCTACTTGTGATTCACTAATTCTTGTGTGCAGAGTTTCTGTACTCGCGTTGTTTCCTGGGTCTTCGCAGCGGTCACGATTCGGTAAAAGCTTGAAGACCGCGTTGGCCAAGATCAATCCCATTGGAAGTGGTGAAATCGGTACCCACTCGATCCGCAAAGGGGCAGCAATGTATGTATAGGCCGGCAGCACCGGTGGTCCATCGCTTGTCAGCATCTGCCTTCGCTGTGGTTGGTCGTTGGTGAGCGTCTTCGAACACTACATGCACTATGAGCGTGCAGGGGACCCAATTTGTTGGCCGTGTGGTCGCGGGACTGCCGTTGAACAATGCCAAATTCGCTTTCTGCCTCCCCATTTCAAGGACACCAACTCTGCTGCTGTCCTCGGCGCCATCAGCGCTACATTCCTTGCACTTGCTGATGTTGCCCACCTTCGTGGCATTCTGGCCCACGGTCTCACCACTCCAACTACATCCTCGACATTATTAGGAGCCGTGTGGAAAATCGACAACTCACGATTTTCCACACGGCTCCTTTCAGACAACCGTTGATTATGGTAGCACTCAAGGCCGAGCTCGTCTCCACGACGCCACGACTTCAACCGTCGAGCATTCCACCGTACATTGAGGTAGGTGTACAGGCTTCTTGAGGTGCAAGGTACCTCGATCGATATTATCCCGACCAGCATTGTTAGTCAAGTCCGCAACATACTTGATGAGCGCGACATCAACAACAACGCCATCACCCCCTCTCTGCTCAGACAGACCATTCATGACGCGCTACAAGAACTCCATGCTCCCAGTATTCCAACAACTGCAACTTCGGATCGTAGCCATTTGACGATGTTGTACACTTGGGGTGGTCGAATGCACAAGCTACCTGAAGTCTTTGAGTTCCCATTGGTTGACACATCGACGGCGTGGTCATTGTGGTGGCTCGGTAACGAGCGACTGGGCCACATTCAGTACAACGCAATTGACCCTCGTGATCTGGCGACAAAACTGCAGCGAAGAATCCTCTCTGAGCGGGGGACTACTGTACCTGCAACGGAATAATTCCGTCATTAAAACAGTTCACAGTTGTTTTGACCCGAAATACTGTTTCGATGAGGGTGTTATCACTGTAACCTGGGACGCCGTCCTACCCCCGGTGAGTACATACGAAGCTAAATCTACGATGCTAAATCTACGATGCTAAATCTACGATGCTAAATCTCCGGGGGTTAAGTGCTTGTCACTGGTTAGCGATAGCTAACCACTAGCGATGCCTTAGTATGAGGTGATGTTGTCCGAGCATACAAAGTTCTATATAAACAAACACTCATACTGCAGTGTTTTCTGAGAAAAAAAGCTGTGGAACCATATTAATAAGAAGACGAGGACCGCTTACATATACCAAATCATCAGCAATATTATTAAAATTAACATATGCATTCCGAGTAATTCCAATCTCTGGTTGGTCAATCGCATTGTGCTTAGAATTAGTGGTTCACGTCACACAACAACTAGCCAATAGGCGAGTGAATCAATTCGTTTGATGGAGATCTCTCGTGACCTTATGGTAGTTCCCACGAAACACTAACTCATTACCAAAAACACTGGTTACACATCGAAAACACACACATTTTGCCCCTCATGTCCCTTCGCTCCAGCTTGCAAGCATCCCAGCCGACTCTGGCGTCGACCCCACTTACAACGAGGGTCATTAGTCAAGGTGTAGTCTTGTTGGAAAGAATTTTCCGACTATGATCGGTACAAAACGGACGTCACGTTCCAGCAAATGAATGTACCGGCCGGTGCGTATGCAGAGAAAAAGATATACTACGCGGCAAACACTCCCTGAATAGACACAAGGTCGAAGTATCCGTGGTACGGAATGGCTTTGCGATTGACTGCACCAAGTCCTACAAGGGCAGCGTGTCGGACAAGACAATCTTCGACGAGAACATTGACTCTCACCTGGCCAACCGGGCAACGCGCACCGGAGAGACGACGCCCGATGACTTTGAGCCTGGCATGTAGCAATTGGCCGTTCTAGCTGACAAAATGTATTAAGCACAATAACCAGGCGGTGCTGCCATTGAAGAAGCCGATAGGTGGTATACTCACATTTGCCGAGCAAGCGAAGGATGACCGTATTGCCAGCGATCACGTCGTCGTTGAGAACTACTTGGTCGGTTGAAGACACTCTGGGCCACATGTAGCGCGATACGTACCGTTGGAGCCGCAAGAGCTACGACATCGTGTTCCAAGCGTGTTTGGCCATGACCAACGTCGATGTCCGTCTCCATCCCCTGCGTGTAGAAGATGGTGATGCCAATGCCCAGTACATAAATCGACTCAACGAAATCGGCGCAAAGATCATCAAGACGAAGAGAGCTGCTGGGAAGGCGTACAGGTCAAAGAGAAAGGTGAGGTTGAGTATGGTTTTAGCTTCGGAGAATACTTTTCCTCGTGATTTGCCTGGAAGCGACACCGAACTTGGCTCTGACAATGAAGATGGAAACAGTAGTTTTATCATATAATTCGGAATTTAGACCATTTAGGACAATGTGCTTGGTTTAGGAATTTTATAACAAATAGTGCTGGATAAATAACAGAAGATGGCAGGTATATATGCTATAAAAAGAACACAATTGCCTTAAAAAGCACATGAATTAGGTGTATTCAGGCTTATTTAAGGTCAAATACCCTTCAACAACATCAATTGTCTTTCGGAAAAAGGTTGATGTCCACGTAAAAGTCCCATGCTTCTCGTCGAAGACTACGTTTTCGGGCAAAGTAGAACTGCTTTACCAGTATGTGGAGAAGCTTATCAGCTCATTTGTAGACTGCCATACATCTCATCTATGAGTAAGAGGTCTACTGTAATGTGGATTAAAAGCTAAAAATCGGACGTCTCGTTCAGATTGTATAGCTTCTGCGCCAATCAAATCGAATGAATACTTAACACCTTCATCCGATTGGTCCACCGCAATCTGGATTCCATTTTCTCCTTCCGA